TGATAATGGTTATACAAGTGATTAGGGAAAACAGAATACATTTGTGAGATAGAAACAACCCGTTAGTTTCTCCAATGCATCTAGTTGGTGAGTATTGTTGATCAAATGTTTTAGTGATGATCCCCGTAAGTTGGCATTTTTGTTAATTTCAATCAATTGACATGAGTTTCGATGTCTAATTTTTGGATATAAATTTAGGCCTGGTTGGTAGGTTCTATCGTTTTTTTTTTTTTCTTTTTTTTTCTTTTGGTTTGAGCCATCTCTTTTTCTTCTATGACTCTTTCTGCAAAAAGCGGGGAATCTAAACCTTCTAGTACACATATAGGATACCTGAATCAACATGCTAATTTCTTTTGATCTTGAGATATCTAAGGTCTCAATTCTATATTTTACTGATGAAAATCCAATTGATTTTCTGCTGATGTTGAAACTGGTTGAGATATGTTTCTTTCCTTGAGTTCTTTTTGCTTGAGAAAGGATGAAGAAATCATTTTATTGGCATATTGCACATATTTAGTTCAGGGTCTTAAGTTGTTCTATGTTGTATGATGTTGTATGTTGTTGCACTTGCCATCTCATCCTCCTCCGAGCAAAGAGAGCAGAGAGCAAAGAGAGAGGGAGAGAGCACCGAACATCGTCACCGAATCAGAGAGAACACCATCGTCTCCTCCTCTACGCCACCACTACTGCCGCGATGCCAGAGTCACCAAACCTCCATACTTCAGTGTCGGTTCCCTCCACCAAGGCAGATCTGAGCAGATCTCTCTCTTTCTCTACTCAAATCTCTCTCACTCTCTATGATGTTGATGATGCTGAGGATGTTGTTGAATTGTTGTTGTTGCCGTTGTTTTTTTTTTTTTTTTTTTTTTTTCACGAAACACTACGTTTGGGGTCTGAAGGTAGGAAACCACTTTTAAAAATGTCATTTCAATTACTAACCAATAGATCTAAAAAATAAACAAATCCTAGCCGTTCATTTAGTTCATAACAGCACAACTACGTCTATGTTACTAAAAAATGATTGGAGTATCGGTTTGGGAAATGAGTTGGCTTTTTGACTTTTTGATTTTTTTGGTTATTTTAGTCTGGGCTAAAAAACTTGATTTGAGAAGGACTTTTTTACTTTTTAACTTTTTTGACTTTTTTTATGAAAAAATAGTGTAATGATTATGGATTAAATGTAATATTTTATTTATTGTACCTAAAATAACTTATTTTATTTTTTATGACTAAAATAACTAAAAAAAAACTTAAAAACTTTCTTTCCAAACGGTGCCTTACTGTTCTTACCACCATATACAGGTCCCAACTATTTTTCTAGATGCCCACTTAAATGTCGCATGAAAAAATTGACTTATTTTTAACGGGCAGACCAATCTGTCCATCTTCCTAATAAAACTTGCACACTATACGATGATTGATTTAGGCTAAGTTTAACAAGTTAAAAAAAAATTAAAAAGTTAAAAAATTATTTAAAAAGTTAAAAAGTTATTACTATTTATGAAAAATTAAAAATAATGGCCATATAATTTTCAATTCTAATTTTTTTTACACACTAATTTATATAATTTTTTAATATATATTTTTATATAAAAAGTCAAAAAGTTAATCCAAACATTCATATTTTTTTTTCAATTTTGTAGTCCAAAAAGAAAAAAAGTACACTTATTTGGGACACCCCAAACAATCTTTTACTTTTTATGTCAACAAAAATCTTCGTAATTTTAAAATTTTTATCAAAATTTCTATCAAATATCTCACATACGATGTGAGTTTCATACCAATATAAAATATTTGATAAAAATTTTAATAAAATTTTTACAATTTCTAATATTACTCTAATGTCAAACAATATAACACGTCAAATCATACAATACCGCCTATGGAACAATTGATGTGCTTAACCATCAAGCAACAGATGATTCCAATCTTCTATTGCAAAATTGCAAAGCCTAGATTATCTGCCAGATGCGAAGGCAATCGAAGTCAAAGATTAAAAACACAAAAGAGGGGCATTTCTCTTTACTTTTTTTTCTTTTTCTTTTTTTTTTTAAATTTTATTATTTTTTAATTTCTCATTTATATGATATTCCTCTAAAACTTGTTGGTGGTTGAAAAAAAAATATAACACTCTGTTTGTTTGAATATTTTTCATATTTTTTGTCATTTGATACAACAGAAAATCAAAATTAACAGAAAATATTTTATATGGTCAATAGAAATTAAGTTTATTTGGGTAGAAAATATTTTCTAATTTTTAAGGAAGGAAAACATTTTCCAAACAAAAATTTTGTCACTGCCACTACATTACTACCATTACCATCACTCTATCACCACCACGGCCACAGCCACCATCACCATTGTCACCACCACCACCTCCACCGGTCTGCAACCACTGCCACCACCATCTCTATCTCACCACCACCACACTACTATCACCACCATCTCTATCTCACCACCACAACACTGCTATCACTGTTGCCACAATTATTGTCACCACCACCCCAACACCTCCACTTTCATCTTCATCCTACCGCCACTACCACTATTACTAATACAACCATTAGTAAGTTAATTTTAAGAACGCAACCAAATATAAGAAAACATTTTCTGTGAAAAATGTTTTTTTTAAAAAGTAGTATAGAAAATATTTTTCAATTGTTTTTTTCAAAAAATATTTTCCGTCAAAATAAATAAAATTTAAATGGACAAAAAAAAATTGTAAAGAAATGTGTAAATAAATTAAACATGTACCAGATGCAAGCGAGAACTGTTCAAAAATGATACAATTCTAGTTTGTAATTATTTGCACTCCATCTATTAGTTTACTATTAATAAAGAGACAAATGTTCACCCATGCCCATATGCATAAATGACATAGTAGGAATGTCATAGATTTACAATTTAAATTTTTAAATTTACACAAAATGACACGGTAGGTTAGATTTTACATAATTAACTTTGTAACAGATTAAAAATCGATATGTAACCTACTATATTGCCAGTTTGCTCAAGTGATCTTGCCCTATCTTCCCTAACATTTAGAGTTATTCTAGTTTGAAAAACGAGCAACGGCCGAAATGAACAACGTGGAGAATTAATGATTCTTATTCGACTGAGTTGAAGCTAGCAACACGTCGATTACACACCTAAGATTGGTAAGAACTAAGAGACAATGCCCCAAACCTAAGTGGGCCTACCGGCAAAGCAGTTGGTATTTGATCGGGCGGGGCGATTTGGTCACATAAAATTAGAAAAAAAAATACTTTGAAAAAATTACATTAATAAAAAAAAATCCTAAGTTTGACTATTGTAACAAAATAAACTTTGAATGTTTAATTTTATCAATTTAAATCCTAATCTTTTTATTTACATTCAATTTAAACCTTCTTCTATTTCGTTGAAATAAAATTGATAGAAAATTGATATTTTAGCAATTAAATTTAATAATATGTATATAGACATTTTATGTATAATTACATTGAGTTTAATGACTAAAATACTATTTTTTTGCGTCAAATGTACTTAATGGAAATAAGTGAATGATTTAGATTAAAAATAAATCAAAAAATTTAAATTTAAATTGATAAAAATAAAAATTCAAGATTTATTTTATTGTAAAGGTCAAACTCTGGGGTTTTATTTATAATTTGTCCAAAAACTTTTCAAGTGTTGCAATTTTTTTTCTATAACCAAGTCAGGCAATGAGTGGATGACTTGAAACACCCAAAAACATTGCAATCTAAAGCCCATTGGCTGTTCAAAAAACTAATAAAGCCCATTCGCCAAGGGTTGGCCTGGTGGGCATATCTACCTTTGTTAGCTAAATTATCCAATAATAAGTCTCCATTTGGGAAGGAGCTAAAATAGCTTGGCTTTTTAATTTTTTGACTATTTTAGTCTCGTTTGATTTTTGTTTTTGACTTTTTTTGACTTCTGTGAGAAAAAAAGTATAATAATTATAGTTTAGATGTGACATTTTATCTTATTGACTTATATAGCCAATTTTGCCTTTTGTGCTGTTTTAGCCAAAAAAATCAAAACCAAACATAGATAAAATTCTATCAAATATACAAAGGATTACCATCACCAACTTTTATCATCCTGGATGTTTATTATGAAAGAATCAAAACTGATGAAGAACAACTATGCTGAGAAATTGTGATCTGTATTATAATATTTTCTAGTTAAAAAAAAAACTATTATAATATTTTCTAATCATTTCAAGTTAATAATACAAGAATGTTAGAGCTTTTAAGAAGTCTCAATCTTTTTTTGCTAATTTAAAAACTTGTTATGATGATGATACATATATGAGCTTGATCAGTCCATTTGGCCGATCACCATGGTCTAACAAGGTTTGGCATCGTACTATAATTGAAGGTGTGGAAATGAAAAATAATTTTGCAACTATACATATTTAGAAAAATTAAATATCAAGAAAAAGATTGAGACTCTAAAAAAGTTTCTTAGTTTTACCCATAATAACATGATAGGTTACGTATTCTGAACAGTTCGCGGTGCCATACAAAATATTTCAAAACCAATAGGTTCATTTTCAATTCTTTGATATGGTTTACCTTTCCATTTTTTTATCCTTGATAGTCTTGTAACTAGGATAGAAATTCTCAAACTTTTTGAGGTGCTAGCCCAAACATCAAAATATGGTCCAAGACATTAAAGCCTTTAGCCATTGGAACTTTTGAAGAAGAAATGTTTTGGAAAATTTTTAATGGGTCCCAAGTAAAAGTTTAATTTGCCTATAAGTTTAGTCGACTTTGGTTGCTTCGTTATGAGTTGACATGTACAATAATGAAAAACATTATTGATTAAGGATTGTCATTTCCCCCCTAACTCTCAATACATACTTTTATATATTACTTGTGAAGACGGGTTTATAGACAGATTTGTAATTTCTTTTATTATTTTTCTCATTCTTTTAAATTTTTTCTTTCATATATAATTATTTTTTAAAAAAATTAGATAATTAATGAACAAAATAAAGAACCAATACCAATATTGTGTATATAAAGTGTGTCCTACCTAGTGTTACAATCCCCCAAAAAATAAAAATAAAAAAAGGATTAAAAAGCCAAATACATCAATCAAAGTGAATTACTACAAACAAGTATATAGCACTAATTAAAGGCAGATCTGTATCATGTTTCCTAATCTCCTTTTTATATCTAAAGCTCCTCAAAAGGAGAAAATACAAAAGCCTCTGTCCAGTCCATGCAATTATTAATTCAAGTATATATGCCAAAGTTAAGGCTTCTTCTTCAACCTGTGCTTGAGCATTTTGAAGGTGTCCCTGGCGCTGCATAAACAAAATACAAAAATGGTAACTAAAATTAATAAATAAATAAATGACATTAGCATAACAATGAAATCTAACTTTATATTTTTTTGATAATCTGTGTCTAAACTAGCATACACGCACATCAACTAGACGAAATGGATTTAGAAATTGCTTTAGAAGAAGAAGAAGAAAATCTAACTATAATAAATCTATTAACACATAAACCAAACATAAAATCCAAGAATAGATTTAGAAAATGCTTTTTTTAATAATTTCTTTTGTTGATTTTTTTTTTAATTTAAAAAACTTTTGGTAGCGTTTGGTAGAGTTTTCTAAATATGATTTGAGAATGGAGTTGTATTTTGAGTTTGTGAGTTTTAAGATTATGATTTGAGTGTGGAAGATTTGTTTGGTGAATGAGTTTTGAAAATAGTTTTGAATTGAGTGAGGAATTTTTGATGTGACATATGATATCTGATACAAAAACTTATAACTTATAACCAAACGCATAACACAAAATTTTATTCAAAACTCATAAAAAAAATTAAAAATTTCTGAATTTTTTTTATTTAAAATATAAAAAATAACAGGTGTCAACTGTAAAAAAATAAATGAATAAATAAAAATTAAAAATAAATAACACTGTTCCGGTTAACCGGCCGAATATCTGAGAGGACAATCGGTTAACCTAAATTTTTTCTGTCTTGAGAAGAATTTTCAAAAGTTGATGTGATATTAACTTTCAAAAATCGTAAATAAACAAGACACTCAAAAGTAGAAATAGAAATATGTTTGGAGAGCCCCCACCAAACAGTGTAACTTTTAAGTTTTTACAAGACTGGAATTAAAAATAAAAAAGTCAATAAAAATTAAAAATAAATAACACTGTTCCGATTAACCGGCCGAATATCTGAGAGGACAATCGGTTAACCTAAATTTTTTCGTCTTGAGAAGAATTTTCAAAAGTTGATGTGATATTAACTTTCAAAAATCGTAAATAAACAAGACACTCAAAAGTAGAAATAGAAATATGTTTGGAGAGCCCCCACCAAACAGTGTAACTTTTAAGTTTTTACGAGACTGGAATTAAAAATAAAAAAGTCATTGAAGAGAAAAAGAAGAAGTTGCGTTCAGTGATTTTTTTTAAAAGATATCTTATTTCTTAGATCCTTCTAGATTAGATGGACTAGAAAAAGTTCAATTTTTTGTTTTTATTTTTGTTTTGGACTTTTAAAAGTTACCAAAAAAAGGCTAAACACATAAAATATATCAATGAACATTACTTTTAAAAGTGGGATCTACTAAAAGAATCTTATAAAATTATGTTCATCTATATGTATATTTTTTATGTGAGATTTTATATTTAGTTTATGTGTACTTAAATTTATAGATCTAATAAATAACTTGATGTGATGTAGAAACTCATGTAAAAATTAAAGATGGTATGAATTACCAAACCCAATTGGCTCCGAGCTTTTCATTAGCCTTAGACGCTTGCATGATTCAACAAACATTCTGTCAAAAATAATAATAATAATAATTCAAAATCCATCAGTGGGTTATATGGGCTTTAAAAGCTAAATTATTAACCACCAAACAATAAAATAAAAAATAAAAAAAAATTATTAAGGGTAGCTAAGGAAATTCACTTACTTCCATGGGACATCTCCAACTAGCATCCAATCTCCATCTTTGTCCTCGTACGTGGGTACATATTCTGACCCATTTACAGGGTCCATAAGCTTCCTCTCATCATCTAGGTAATTACCTTAACAAAGTTAAACAAACGAAAAAGACCAAATTACCCCCACAATACAAATATAAAAAGTATAAAAAAAATTAATACAAAATGATATGACAAAGGAGAAAATTACAATCCAGTTTAGTGTTAAAACTTATAACTTTAATTATTAATATTGATAAAAATTTACACTGATTTATGATTATTTTTGTAGGAATGCACTAATCGGATCGTATACATACAGATGGAAAAACAGTTGAACATGTCTTTTAGAGAAGTCAAGAGCTGCTGATAGGAGTTGTACATTTCCAAATCAACTTTTCTCAAATAAGGAGCTCCATCCACAGCCACCTTCACGTACTTGCGCTTCTTTATCGTGTTCTTCCTGAACGATCTCACTGGCGGCCACCCTACTACTTGAGTTCTGATAAATTATTATAAAGAATCATTCAATTTAGTAATGATATATAAACAAAAATTCTATACAAAATTTTTATACAGAAAGATACAGTACTTCACAATAACTTTCACTATGACTTAAAGTTTCAACATTATCATTGTCGTCACATCATTCTAATTGATTTTTTTAAAAAAAATTAGTGTTTTTAAATCATTGTAACAATTGCGAGTTAGTGTAGATTTTTAAAAATAAATTCATATTAGTGATAAACTTTTATAAATATTAATAATTAAAATTTTAAATTTTTTCATAAATTTATAATTATTTTGTGAAAACAACTCTGAATTATAAATTTTCCTAAATCATTTGCCATTCACTTTTTTCAAAAAATGAAAAATGGAAAAGCATGGATATATGTGTTAATTCATGTATCGAAACTGACATGGGATTATCTATCTCTAAAATTTAAATTTTTTTGTTCTTATTCCTCTTTAAAACACTTACAACTATTAAATTATTTATATCTCAAAATTTTTACATGAGTCGATGATGGATTGTCTGAAATCGAGAAAACTGAGAAAAGATTATCTTTTACCTTAAAAGTTATAAACTATATAGTTACATTTACATTCATGTTATGGTATAGATTATAAGTAAATGGATTTAAATGAACTTACTTTTCTGTGGAAGGTTTAGCCTCAACCTCAGAGATCTGATTTTCGGATTGATCATCCTCAAAAATTTTACCCTGAGACTTCACATTCAAGTCAACCGTCTCCGAAAATCCGCGTTTCGTGCCGGACTTTTGATTGCGAGATTCACCCGGTAAGCCTAGGGTGAGTTCGGTTTCATTGAAATTCTGGTCGGTGGTGTCGGATTCTGGCGAATTTTTGGCCATCTCCGGTGAAAGTTTCTTGTTTTCTTGCTTTGTAGTAATGTTGGGGCACTTTGTTTTTAGTTTTTATGCAAAAGTCTGGACAAAAGCGCGTTTGGCTGTTCCTTATTTATAATGTGTTACTTTTATTGGGAGATCACACATATCTAGTGTTTCCCGAACCTACGATTGGACCATTGGTAGATTGACGTGTGTACTTAAAGAAGCGGCTGAGATTGTTCCATGTCATTGCGGAGTTCATGATGAAAAGCGTGTGTCCATGATTCTGAATGTATTGTTGTGTGGGCAAGGGACAGCTTGATTTGGACAATTTCATTACTGGGTGTGCTTGGGTGTGTTTGGAAACAAAAATTTTAGTAAAAAAAAAAAATTATTTTGGATTCGTTTGGAATGTGAATTAATTTTTTTTACTTTTTAATTTTTTTGTTATTTTAGTTTGGGGCTAAAAAGTCTCGTTTGAAATAGACTTTTTGGCCTTTTTGAATGTTGTGACAGAAAAAATAAAATGATTATGGCTTAGATATGATATTTTGTCTTATTGAACTAAAAAACTTATTTTGTCTTTTTATAACTATTTTAGTCAAAAAAACCTTTGGCTTTTTTATGCCAAACGAGCTATTTAGTCAAAAATTAAAAGTTCAATTGAAAATTAATTTTTTGTAGTAATTTCTTGATTTTATACAAAAATATATGTAAAAAAGTAGAGAAAATAATTTAATAATTAATAATGACTTTTTAATTTTTTAACCAAAAATAAAACTTTCTAAACGAGGCCTAAAAAAATCAAAAAGTCATATAAAATAGGCAAAGACTCATTTCATTCTTTCTAACATTTTTTCGTAAAAAATAAAAAATTCATTCTTAAACAAATTATTTCAATTTATATCTCAGTCAAACAATAATTAAAAAAACTACTAAAGGATTGTTTAGAATGATCTAAAAAAAAAAACAGAGAAATGATTTGACCTAAATAAGTGCACTTATCTAAATAAATATACTTATTTAATTTATGCCAAACAATGTCTAAAACAATCACTTCCAAAAGCACCCTTTAATTTCATTTTAATTTATTTGAATTGTATTCTATGATTTTGTAACAACAGTACCAAATTATATTCCTTTCGTCTCAAATTGTTGATTTATTTTCAAATATTTGTGCTATTTAATATGATCAAAAATATTTTTTAATTATTTTCCAAATTAAACAATCTTAATTAATTTTGTAAATAATATCTTCAAAATTGTTAACAAAATTGAAAATCTAAATAATTTTTTTAAATGCCTCACATAACGAAAATATGTTAATGATTTGAGATGAGGAATTCACGTTGTTTAGTTTACCTTACTTTTCAAAACAAATGAGTTTTTGTATTTTTTGTATTTTTTTAAAAAAAATTTAGTATTTTTTTAATATTTTACATATTTTTTGATTTTTTGAATACATTTAATCTAGATATATTTTTTTAAAAAATTCACCAAATACAAAAAAAAAAAAATATATATATATATATATAAATTACAAAAATTTAGTATATTTTTATATTTTGTTATATTCAATAATTTTTAAAAGATTTTTGTATAAATTTTATACTTTTTAAATATATCAAGTTAAGTGGATCTAAATAATAAAATAAATTGATTAGAATATTTTAAAAATACAAAAATATGAATTAAAAATTTTAAAAATTCTAAAACAAACAGAGTGATAATTTTATGAATAATATGAAATTACAAAATTAACCACAAAAAAAAAACACATGAAATGGCATAAATTGAATGGAAAATCAGAACAAATTAAAAAAATAATTACATATTAATAATAAATTTTATAAGAATTAAAATATTAAAATCATAAACTTCTTCATAAATGTGTAAATATTTTTTGAAACCACTCAATTACCCTAAATTGAACAACTGGAGTGGTGGGGCCGACTGGGAATTCTTCCACCACATTCATCGCCAGTTCATGATGCGAAGCGTGTTTTGTTTGGTAGGTGTTTGGGAAGTGAGTTTTTATGTAAATTTTTTTAGTTGTAGAATATTATTAAAAAAAAAATTTATATTTGGGAAGAAAGTTGGTTTTTTTGTGATTAGATGTGATATTTATGAGAGAAAAAGTGAAATGATTATAAGATTGAATGTGATATTTTATTTAAATGTATTTTTTTTTAATTTTGTAAAAAATTTATCTTTTTTGAAAAAAATAAAAATAAAAAACCCAAGTAAAGAGTTAAAAATATTTTGTTTTGGTTTTTTTTTTTTGAACAGTGAAGCGTGTGTCTTGAGTGCGTTGAAATTTGTGCCCGTTCGATCTTGCCCCTTTCGTTTCATTTTAATTTTTACAATTTATTTATTTTTGATACATTCATTTTGATTTATTTGAAATTTTTTTTAAACTCTTTACGTTTTTTTCTTTTTTTCTTTTTCATTCGAAATATTTTTAACTCTTTACTTGGATAATTGCATTTTATGCTTTGGGAAGTTGCTATCATCGTCACAAAAAAAAAAAAAAAAAAAAGTCAAAAGTTAGTATAAATTATCACATTATTTTTATATATATTTTTTGATAAAAAATTAAAAAGACAATTAAAATAGTTAATTCTTAAACTAATTTTATGGATAAACCTTGTGTAGGTAAAAAATGTCATATTAAGCCTCGGTTTGACATTCATTTTGGGGTTAAATAATCACAAAAAAGACAAAATTAATTATAAAAGTCAATAAGATAAAATACTACATTTTATCCATAATTATTATATTTTTTTCTCACAAAAGTCAAAAAAGTCTCAAAATAAAAATCAAATGAGGTTAAAAAAATCTCAGCACAAAAAGTTAGCTATATTAGCCAATGCCAAACGACCCCTAAAATAGTTTGACATTTGGCTAAAATAGTTTAAAAGTTACAATAAAATGGTGAATTACACTAATAGTCTCTATAGTTTGGGACTTGTATCATTTTAGCCGTTGACTTTTCAATTGTGACAAATTTGACTCTGAATTTTGAATCTTATTTCAGTTAAGGACAATTAAAGATATCATTAGATTTTTCAAGGGTAAAATCATCAATTTGATAAAATATAAACTAATTTGACCAAAAAAAATGCCAAAAAAATATTTTTGAATTTTTAAATATTATTTCTACCCACTAAAGATAAAATTATGTAAAATTGATAAATCTTTTAGACATTTATTTTTTTTAACTAAATTAATTTTTATTATGTGTTTGGATGATGATTATGTAAAATTAATTTTTAAAAATTAATCATGTAATTTTTATTGATTTTGATCAATTTTGCATAATTTTATCTTTAGTGGATATAAATAATTTTTAAAAAATTAAAAATATTTTTTTGACATTAATTTTTGTCAAATTAGTTTATATTTTATTAAATTGATGATTTTTCTCTTGAAATTAAGTAATAGTATCTTTAATTGTCCTTATTTGGAACAAGATTCAAAATTCAGGATCAAATGTGCCACAATTGAAAAGTCAGGGACTAAAGTAACACAAGTCTCAAACTATCGGAACTGTTAGTGTAATTTGTCCTATTATAAATTATCACATCACGTTTTTCAAATCTTTTTGTAAAAAGTTAAAAAATTAACCAAAATCAATTTTCAAACGAGACCTAAGTAAACGCTTGAAAATTTAACTTTTTTAGTAATTTTTGATTTTTTTGTGAGGTAAAAAAAAAATTAGTGTGGTTAGTGAATTAATAAATACATAAAATATAAAAAAATGTACTGAATTCTCGTATTTTTTTGTATTTTTGGTATTTAGTGAATTTTTAAAAGATTTTTTTCACAAATTTTTTCCTTTTTAAGTATATTTATGTTAGGTATGTCTAAAAAGTAAAAAAAAAAAAATTGCTTAAAATATTAAAAAAATTCAGTAAAAATAAAAAAGTAGAATTTTCTGAAAAATGTTTTTGAAAATACACAACCAAGCATGGTGAATATTTTTTTAGTTGTATAGAAAATTTAAAAAAAAATGATTAATTGATATGTATGATATGATATTTTAATTTATTTATTTATCTATTTATTTTACATTTTTTAACATTTTCAACCAAAGAAGTGATTGTCAAATGAAGCCGAAAGCGTGATTCAGTGTCAAGAATATTTGTACAAGAAAATATTTCTTAAAACGGATGAATTAAAAGAAAAGAAAGAAAAACGTAATAAAAATATTTATTTTTTTAGTAACAGTTCAACTTACAAGAAAATTTATATGCAAAAATAATTTAATTTTTTTCATGATACATAATCATGTACTTTTTACAATAAAGTATTTGATTGAAAGTGGTTTTTTTTTGGGAGGGAGAGTAAGGTGTTGTTTGGGGTGTCTCAAATAAGTATACTTTTTGTCTTTTTGAACTAAAAAGTTGAAAAAAAAATAATTATATATTAAATTTATTATTTATTTATAATTATTCTTACAAAATACTGACATGATATTTATCCTTTTTCCAGAAAATAATTATGGTAAGAATTATATTTTTCTATAACAATTAAATATACGTTAAAAAAAAGGGAGGTAAATTATAAATACATTTTTTAAGATTTGTTTAAAATATATATTGTCCCTTATAGTTTAGAAACTAATTGAAAAAATAATTACGCTCCTATATAATTACGCTCCTATATAGATTGTCACCTATTAGAATTTTTTATTTAACAAAACTAATTGAAAAAATAAAATTTCTAACTACGCTCCTATATAATCATAAAATTAATTAAAATAAGTTTATAACATTATTAAAAATTATTAATTGACTTGATAATTTATTAACAAAAAGGATAATTTGTTATGAAATTAGAAATTTCGAAAGACGTGATGTAATTTTCATAACCATATAGGGTAAATCATATTTTAAATAAATCTCAGAAAGTATATTTGTAATTTGTCCCTAAAATAAACATTTTCTTTTGTTTTTTGGAGAAATTATAATTTATACTTTAAAAAATAATTATAAATGTGCGAGGAGCAAATATTCAGGCAAGTCCGCACTCCTTTCTTCCAAGCTCCTGCATGTCCGATCGACCTGCAAGTACAACGGCGGTGAGCTACCCGGCGGTGTGTGGCCGGAAAATCCCTCTGACGATCAAGTTAGACACACACACCGAGATAGAGAGAGAGAGAGGACTGAGTTGTATTTAGTGTTTTTCTCACCAAATTGTGTCATCTCCTAAGCATGGGGGGCGCAGACATGCTTATATACCTTCTGCGCCCCAAATCTACTCCCAGTGATCTCTCGACACGCGGTACTACTATCCCATCTGTCAGCAC